GAGGCTTTCTGCTCCCGTAAAGATTTACAGCCTCGGAAACCCTGTACAGGGTTGCTATGAGTTGGAACCGACTCCACGGCACATAACAACAACATAATAGTTTCATGTGTCAACTTGGCTAGGCAATAGCACCCAATTACTGAATCAAAGACTAATCTGGAGTCGCTTTGAATATATTTTGTAGATGTGGTTAACATCTGCAATCACTTGACTTCAAAGATTACCCTAGATAATGTGGTTGGGCCTCCGAGGTTTCTCAAGGAAGAAATTCTGCCTCAAGATTGCAGCATCAACTCCTGCTTGAGTTTCCAACGTGCTGGCCTAGCCTACAGATTTCAGGCTTGCAGTTCCCACAATTACACGAGCCAATTATACTTGAAATAAATCTCTTGTTGTCTCTGGAAACCCCTGACTGATAGAGAGTCCTTCATGTGACATTATTTCCCAAGCTCTCCCCCTCTGCCCCAAAGCTGTCAGAGAGAGATGGAAAGGTGTTCAAGGTATGTCCAGTAATCTGCCAGTGGCCTCTAGGGTGAGCATATATGCCGAGGAGATACGGTAGTCCTGTAAGCAATTCATCACTGTCTCTTGGAAATCACCCTCGTTTTAAAATGAAGGGGTGCACTGAAGTGAATTGTTGAATGTCTCTTCTAGTTGTAGTTCATAAACTCCCACCAGATGACTTTTTCCTGATGGGTCTGGTAAGGGAAGGTGGGGGAAGATGCTGATGGATTATATGATTCAGTTGTGAGCTAATTATGATTGGTCAATTTTGCTATCATACTGGATATTAAAGGAGCTCTGGTAGTATAGTGGTTACCTCAAGGTCAGCAGTTCAAAACTACCATAGTTCCGCAGAAAATAAAATGAGGTTTTCTGCTCCTGTAAAGATTTAGAGCCTTGGAAACCATATGCAGGGTCACTATGAATCGGAACCTACTCCACGGCACACAACCACCACCACCATCATTGGGTATAAAACAAGCCATCTTGTGGCTTTGAGCAGGAAGCTTGCTTGCAGAGTGGGGTGACTCCAGCCACTTAATTGGGGAGCTAGGTTTGTTGACCCATGGCCTAGAGCTGAGTGCCTTCAGGCTGAGGCTTAGGATGGAATGGTGTGTCCTGTGGGCCTTTCTCAGGAGTTCTAAAAGCTTTGTAGCACTGCCCAGCAGAGGCCTACCTTTCGGCATGGCTGAGGAGAGGCTATTCTGACTGACACAACCGTGCCTGAACATTTCTGACCCTGAATTATAACTTGATAACTTCTCTAATAAACCCCTTAACTGTGAATACAGTGTCAGTTCTGTGTGGTCATGGCAATGAACTATTGAGCCCAGTTAAGTAGAGAGAGCTGTGGAAAGAATGTTTGGTGCACATCTGTTTGTAGTTTGGCGTCAGGAGAAGGATTCATTGCCATGGCTCCAGACTCATGGAAGCATGGAGTTTTGTAAGATAAGGAAGAGGCATGGAAAGTCAAGCTGTGGATTCTAAGAGTGTTACTTTGGGTTGTTCACTGTAATGTTTGAAAGGAATGTAAGATGTGTTATGCTGCAACTGAGGGGAGAAAAGCTGCTACCGGAGTCACGTGGGGCAAAAGCCTGACTGGTTATACAAGATGCCTAATAGGGGGGCAGTGCCTACTTGATCCACCCTACCAGCCAGAGAGGCCCAAGGCCCGATGCATATGTGTAATTACAGAGAGCTTGTAAACCTGCCTTCAGCCTGCACTTGATTGAATGGGCTCAAAAGGGAATTAGAAATTGCCTGGAAGAAACGGTTTTGCTTAAGCCTGTTTTAGTAGAATAAGGGGCTTAGGTGGAAACCTGAATCCTATCCAGAACTTCTGAGAGAATAGATTTACCTGTGAATGAAAAGACCTACAAAGGGGAAAAAACTGGCTTTTTTTTTTTTTTTTTTTTGAGCAAGCAGTTTGCTGTGGGATGTATCAAGACAGGAAAGGTCT